AAAAAAGAGGATAAGTAATAATTAAAACAGTATAAAAACTGTCACACCATCCATCTTTTTAAAGCTGACAGCCCCGTCTTTGCCATCCTGCCATCCTTATTACCCAGTGTGATTAAGACGTAAAAATGTGTTACCAATGTGTTTAGTGTCACTGGCTGTCAAAAAGTCTTTCATGGCGACTTCTCTCTCTGTGTGTGTTGACTATATGCAGTATATACTGAGCTACTGTAGCTGTTTTTGTCCTTTGTCTTCTCTGTGCTCTATCTCTAGTGTGGGGGAAAGGAGAGGGGAGGGGCTAGAGGGAAAAGGAGGTGGAGTCTATGGGATGATTGACATCCCCCCAAAAAACAACAGCTCCTTGTCTCTCTTACTCCTTCTCTTTGTCCTTCTCCCTCTATCAGCAGTCTTAGTGAAACCAGTGGAGGTTCGTGGAATTTCGTGTTCGGTGGCCTTTGCAAAAAGCAAAAAAAAAAGAAAAAGTTTGCAGAGTCCACCTTTTCTTTCGCTGCTTCCTTTTTGTCTTTGTAAAACCTTTTGATTTTGTTTTCTAATCCTTCTCTATCTTTCTCTCTGCTATTGCTTTTTGCTGTTGTGTAGTCTTATACAAACCTCTTTATCTCACTGTCTTTTCTCTCAGAGATGAAAAGATTCTCTAACTAGCTCAAAGGTTTATGGAGCCATGTTTTTGCCACTAAGGAATTCTGGGAATCAAAGTTTCCTGCTATTTTTAGATAACTAATAAATATTTACAGTATATTAGAAACAAATTATGACAAAGAAAAGCCTAAAGTAAGATTTTAGCTGTAGATTTATGACCCAGACAAATGCCTCAGCTGTGAAACTTTTTCCCAGGATCCCTTTGGGCTTCTTGTGTGCATTGGGTGTATTTCATTGGTTCCCACCAAAACTTGTTGACTTCCTGCGCAAACTTCTCTCACGGGACAAACAAAGTTAAACAAGTGGTTCATGGGGGAAGAAAAAAAAATCACGGTAGTCTTTCAGGACACGTAATAAAAAAATGATTTTAAAGATTTCTAAAATAACTAAAAGAAGAAAAAAATATTTCGCACTATAAATCTATTTTTATAGGTGTTTTGGAAAACTGAACTGCATGTTTAGTAAGTTTGTCCGATGCATTTCTCATAGTCGAACCCTCGTTTTTTTGTTGTTCTGTTTGTTTTTATTTTCAGTTGAGCAGTTTCTTTTTTCTTCTTCTTCTGTTTTCAAAGTCTGTCGAGCCCAGTCTGTTATCAAACCGACCCGGGCCTCTCATCACCCCTTCACATCAGGAAAACCAATCTGTAGGTTGTGTGCTGTCTGTGAAGAATCGATGTCTTGTTACTGCAACTAATGTGTACAACAACGAAACAAATCCAGGTTAAGAAATTGAACAATGTGCTTATTTTTTTTTGCGCTCAAGTAAGAGGAATGTGGTTTGGGCCACCCGACCTGCCAGTTTATTGTCGGGTTGTTTGTGGTTGAATGTTAAATTTGTCATTTTGGGAGCATTTTGCTGCTCCTCTAGATTTTAGCATTTTCTACCTTTTGGCAGTTTTGCATGAAAAGTGGGGGGATGGGGCATAGGTGAATGACGCTGCTGCCCCGTTTGGTAAAGAATCGGGCACGAGATATAGTGTAGGTGGTGATGACAGCGGTGGGTGTTGATAGTGGTGCGGGGTGGGTGGGGGAATACATAACTCAGACGAAAACCAGGAAATACACCCACATGTAACAAAAAACCAAACAGCCAGTCCAAGCTGTTTCAATGTTTTTTCTGTGTTTTATGTCGAAAAATGAAAACTTTGCTGGTGATTTTAAAAACTTAAAAACCTTAATCACATCTGCTGTCAAAAATACATAGTGTTTAAGAAATACAAATATTGAAAAATCACTTCATTTACCTGTGAAAAAACTGTGTCTGTGTTTTTAACTATTTCTTGTACAATTATACAGATTCTTTTATGAGGAACTTGGTGCCAAGTAGCTGAAATACGGGAGAGAGGGAATCTCTTATTATCAATGTTAACAGTGTTATAAAATTCTAAATACAAACAAATTAAAATATTAAAAAAGAGAAAACTATGGTACATTTCTATTTTTTTCCCCCTCTCAGAAGAGTGGGGGGAACTCATGACTAACTGATGCTAACTTTGAGTGCCTGGCTTATTTTTTTATTATTATTTTTGAAAGACATCTTTTTGAGTTCATTTACCATGAATAATGCTGCAAATCCGAAAATGTACATACTTCATTTTTATAGCAGTTGTTCTTTTATAAGTTTGCTAGGTTCTCATCCGTTCAGAGGAACATGTCATATACATGGTTGTCTTTCTGTAACCCGGTTTTGACCATCTTACAGGTGCCATATTCATAATAAAATTTTCTCTCAAATTTGTTACCAGATTGCATCATTTCTTCTGTTTGACACATTCAGCCATCCCGCCTCTCGCCAGAATACTGGACAATGTTACATCTCAGGCTGCCAGGTTTTCTCTTCTTTCGTCTTTCTTTTCTTGCTCTTCCTTAGCTGTTGGTTTTTTCGTTTCTTGTCAGAAAGTATCTGAGCTTTATGAAAATGTCTGAGCTCAGTTAAGTGTTTTACAGATACATGGATGGACTTTATTAAATTACAACATTTTATGCATTCAGAGATAATAAACAAAAAAGATCTGGTCCTTCGCAGGTTCCAAATTTACACTATATTGCCAAAAGTATTCACTTGTCTGCCTTCACACACATATGAACTTGATTGACATCCCATAGGGTTTAATGTGATGTTGACTCACCAACACTTCGAAGACTGCGAAGACTTCCCACGAGGTTTAGGATCCAGAAGAGCATTTGTGAGGTCAGACACTCGTAGTGGATGAAAAGGCCTGGTTTGCTGTTTCTGCTCTAATTCATCCCAAAGGTGTTGAGGTCAGGACTCTGTGCAGGCCAGTCAGTTTCTTCCATATCAAACTCACTCATCCATGTCTTTATGAAACTTGGTTTGTTCACTGGTGCGCAGTCATGTTGAAACAGGAAGGGGCCATCTTCAAACTGTTCCCACAAAGTTGCCAGCATGAAATTGTCCAAAATATCTTGGTATGTTGCATCATTAAGACTTTCTTTCACTGGAACTGAGGGGTCGAGCCCAACTCCTGAACAACAACCCCACACCATCATGCTCCCTCTATAAAACTTTACATTTCAGTTAGACAAGTACAGTTCTCCTTGCAACAGCCAAACCCAGTCACCCATCAGATTGCCAAACGGAGAAGCATGATTTGTCGCTCCAGACAACACATCTCCACTGCTCAACAGTCCAGCAATACCATGCTTTACACCACTGCATGTTCTTGAGCTTATCTGAAGTCTGAGTCTGCAGAAGGTTTGGGACCTCTATGCACATCACCATCCGCTGACCCCCCTCTGTGATTTTACTACCACTTTGTGACCAAGTTGCTGTCTTTCCCGGATGGCAAGGAAGATTCATAGATGT